CCCCCCCCCGCCCCTTGCAAAAATGTTTTAGCAAAAACTTCTGATATTTTAACTAATGCATATAACTTGCTTATGCTGGTCAATGCCATTTAAAACATTTAGGCATAGAAACTATGGAATCTCTTTTATTATTTAGGAAACGTGCATCAGTGTTTCCATTTTTATCGCACTGCCTTTACAAGACACTTCCTAATAGCGAGGTCCATTTTATTTCACAGGATTTAAGAATACTCTTTTGGGTCTAGTTCAAAATATAGTACGTTCATATACAGTAGAGCCTTCACCTTGGTTGGGGCCACCCAGCCACTCAACGTATTAGAACAGGGTTACTGGCAAGTAGCAGTTGTGTTACATACTTAACACTATATAAAACCATAACAAAAATGCACAGTGCCTCAGAGCTCTCAAAAATACAAACAAAAGAAATTAACATTCATCATCAATCCAAATACTTGTCTCCAGCAGAGGACCCTACACATGCTTTATTTCCCCATGTGTTTCACCTTTAATTACTTTTACCAAATATGCTTATTGCACAATATTTTAAAATCCTGTTTGTATGTGACGGCATGTCCTGTAGCCCTCACAATTTCATTGACTTGTTGCTTTTCTGGACAAGGAACAGTTCCATATTTCAATTAACTGACCTATGGTTGATCTGTTTTTGCCAACTAGCCAGCAGTGGTAGCTGAAGAGTGAGAGTATGCTGATGAAGAACATGGCTGCCACAAAGAAAAGGAATAGTACGTGGAATTTTGCATGGGTATCTGGCAATTCATTCTGGGGAGAAAGAGAGAAAGAGATTAACATGTTAACACTTTTTAGCAAATAATGCAGTATTGTCACTAAACATTTTCTGCCACACCCAATCTGCTATAGGTCTTTCACCTCACTTCTCACAAAGGAAAAAAAAAGCGCAAGCCCAGCTTTCCTTTTGTGTCACGTTAAACTGGTATACAGCAGCGTTTAAAGCTGATGGGTACCCCTTCCACTGAAGTTTAGTAGCACGAGTGCATATGTTCATCTGTTAGTTTTTAAATGCCCAGTAGTGGGCAGGGAAAAAAATTTCCTATGCTAAAAAATTGTTAACTGTACAGCCACAGCCAGAGACGCAGGGAAAACACATCCAAAATCACTTTCTTTGAAGGGAAGAAAACACAACAAAAAAGTACAAACTCTTTCCTGGCAAGGTAATAATGCTGAACCTACTTCTGAACTGGTGTAAGGAACGTAAAAGGGAAATGTCTGTCATACTGTTTCCAGGACTGAACAACTCCTAGGCAAGACTTGTGACAGATAGTCAATTTTTCATGATCTCTAAGGTTTAGGCAACATGCAGCAAATACCTAGTAAAACAAATTTGCGGTGTCTGACCAGCCAGAAGTGATTCACCACATCTACATGAAAAACAACAATTTCAGTACAACCACCGTGTAAAAAATAACCCCCCACCCATATTGGATAGTTGATTCCAACCCCAACTATTTTTAGGCTTGCACTTTCAAGAGGCCAATGGGATTTGTAACAATACCATTTCAGTTCTATATCCTCAAAACCACAGTACTTTTAAGTAGTTGACCTTTAACAGCACTATGAAAGCAGAGAGGCTATTTTTATTCAGCTGTTTAGTTAGCATTATTGCCATTACTTTTTCCATTAGCTCAGTTCGTATACCCACTTATCTAAGGCTGATTTTTTTTTCTAGACTAAAACACATTTCAGTTAAGATCAAGCGCACATAGGTGTACCTATATCCCTGTACACTGCCTATATTCATAGGCAACAGGTTACAAGTCTCCTTCTGTGATGGTGCAAATAGCTACCATGAATGACTGGATTAGAAAAATTATACTAGGAACAGTATTTAAATAATTACAGCAATATTGGATTTTACCTTTGGACAATTCTCTGCAGCTTTCCTGTGGCAAAGCTTTGCGCAAACAAAGACAATTTATTAAACACTAGTATTATGTTAAGGCGAAGTGTTTGAAAACAGCACAGGCTTTGTTAAGAACAATATAGTGGGTGTGCATACGTGCTCTCAGATTTGCCGAGTTCCAACGCCCATCAGCAGCCTTAGCCCCCATTCTCCAAGGGAATGGAGGAGAGAGTACCTAAGAGCACCCTACTAACTTCTAAGGCATGACATTTCCTACTGAAGCATAGAAGTATTGCTATTCAGATTGTGGCTGGATCACTTTCAAGCGGTTCCTCAGCTTAATTAGCAAAGGTGTCGTCATGCTGTTCATTTCCATCACAAGTAAGGTTTATCTGAATATTCTGTATGATGAAACCATTCCTAAAGGTCTGAAAAGCTCAGAATAATCCGGAGGTATCAAACTGCGGTTTATAAATTACAAAATCTTTCTGACATCAGAACATATCTATTACCATTTGATGTAGCTTCAGTAAAAAACATTAAAAAATTGCCTTTCTTTGCACAATTTTCTTTGTTTAAAAAAAAGAACCCATAACACATCAGTAGTTTTTCTTCTTCCCAATATTCTTCAATGCCAATATGTTTATGGGATGTATCTTTAGCGTAACATCTGAAATTGAACCAGTCCTTAAGAAAATAAAGCAAGAAACAGGAAAGTTGAGTTTAAATTAGCTTTTAAATTCCAAATTTCACACCTAAAGAGTGGTATTAGACATCTTAGCTAAGATGCTAGCACTTAATGAATGTGTTGCAGGCAAGATGTATGGCTTTTACGCTACATTAATCTGTGCAGAAAGCCTAGGGAGAGCCCAAGCATTTAGTTTGCAGTCAGGCAGATATACACAGCGTTTTCAAAAATGCTGGCTACCATCAGATCATGCCACAGTAGGCAAATGACAGCAGAGTCCAGCTCTCAACTGCCATCTAAGTTCAGTTTCCTTATTTACTGCCTTTTTTTTTTTTTTTTTAAATGCAGTTTTGCTTAGACAATTTGTGCAACAGTCCCTCTTCCTCCTGCTGTAGGGATATGTTGTGTTTGTCATCCTTTGAAATCAAGACCAGCAAAATACATACTCCAATTGCTGCTTATTCCTAAGCTTCATGTTAAAGCTACAATGACTTTTGCTACCTCAGAGCACACTGCAGTGTTCCCAGTTTCCTAATTAATTTTTTTAACTTCTATTTCTATGTCTCTTTTGGAATTGCATATTCAAACAAAATAGTTCTCTATAAAAAATTCTCAGAACAGTTGATTTTGAAGCTCAAAGAGCAGTAGCAGCTTAGTCTTCTGTGGGCCAGAAAACAGAAGTTTATTTCAGTTGCATCTTCCTAAAACACTAGCTCTATAACCTGGAGAAGGATTTTTTTGAATTATGCACAACTGATCTGCATGATCCCCAGGGAGCATTTACCTCTTCTGACTACCCAGTTTCAGCCACTGGTTTTAAGTTCTTGAATGACAGTTGCAGAACTGAAGCATCTTTCAAAAAAGGCCAATTCCTTCCTGGAGAGAAGCATGCAGGCTTTGAGTACGTATAACAGGCTTATTCACACTTGTGTTCTAGCAGCAGTTCACATGCCACAGCATGTGAAAAGAGAGTGAAACTTCAGGCATTAGTTATTGAAAATCATTATGCTCAGCAGCAGCACAGAAGCAGAGACTTGCAGGTGAGAGAGCTGCAGAGCTTACAAAGGGAAGCAATTTGCACAATAAAATTAGGGCTACTTAGCACACATAATTAGACTGGAGCCACTCACTATTCGAAAGAGTACTCTACAAACTTCTTCACAAGCAGAGTCTCATTTGAGAATATATCAGGTCATAAAAAACCCCCAAACAAAACACACAACAACAAAAAAAGCGCTGTCAGAGCTTCATTCGTTATTAGTCTTTTAGTAGCTAGGTCTAGCTTAAATCTAGGAAAAACTCAGATCTGGTATATGCCCTTGTGTGTATATGCAAGAGGAATGAGTTCTAACTAAGGATCTGGAATTGCGCCTTCTGTTTTGTTTTTTTTGTTAATACAACCGAAGTTTTGTAGAAGCATGTGCCATCTACCTGGAACACATATCACATCCTTGAATATATTCAGGATTGCCAAAATAATTTGGAGGACAATGAAACACACTGAGAACAGCTGGAAAATACACAGGTTTCAAGGGGGAGGGAGTGCAGCAAGAATGAGAGTGGATACAACCATACACTGCGAAGTACCACCATGCACTCTGTAAACAAGACATCATGGACTGGGCATTCAGCCAGTGCTGGTGTTTGTGTCAAATACATTTGGTTAAACTGAGGTTTTACCTGGTCATCTTTAACAACTTTCTAGGTAGAAATAAAAATGTCACGAGTATAGGAAACGTAGTTATGAGTATAAAGAAAAAAAAAAAAAAAAGGAGTCATTCATAAAAAGGAGTCATTCATGTTCCCTTATCTACAAAAGAGATTTTAACATCTGCATCAGTGTGTAAGCCTGTGGTAAACACTTACAGCTAGTGTAGTTGTTCCACCACTGTATGAACAGTATCAAAATCTTTCTTCTTCAGCGCTTCTGCACTGAGCATGAAAGATGCTATGTGAAAGTCTTGCACGTGCAAGTGGGAAACACAAAGATTTTCTTCAACAGAAGAGCTAGGTAGGTATGCACGTCTCTCAATGTTTGCAAGTATCTGCATATGTGTGTTGTGTCTCTATGCAAGTATTAATCAACAGTGCAAAACAATGGATTGCTAAAATTTGTGTAGTTAGCGCATACACCTTCACAGCCTCATTACTGCAAGTTTTGAAGTGACCAAGGCTACACTCCCCAAGAAGCAGTTCATCTTCCATCCCAACACTGCATATATACAGCAGCTTGTTGCACACTTTCTCTGAAAAACATCTATGAAGCAGCAAAAAAGAAACACCATCTTCTGAAGGTATATTACAACATTTATGATGGTCAAGCTTGGGGGGAACAACATCTAGAGAGCCTCAATGCTGAAACAATCATCTGTCTGATGCTGTAGCAGACAAAGCTGAGCATTAGCAATACACTGAAGCAGTCTACAGACAGCACATGTCAGCAGTACTCCGCTCTGATCTGGACACGGAGAGAGAAACTTCCAGGACTCTATTCTGCAGTCAACAGCACTTGCCTAAAAGCTTACATACTAGAGACATACTAAATTTTGCAAACCTAGATGATTATAGTGCTGCCACCTCTTTCTGGAAGTCTACTTTAATCAGGCTCTAAGATCAGAGGAATATTAGCTTTGTGGAATGAATGATTTAAATACGAGTAAAGTGAGTCAGAGACCTACTCTAATGATAAGATCACGGCATCATTAGATGCTGTCTTGGAAGTAACCGGAAATGAAAGCAACAAGTGCAAGCACACCACTACATTGTCCATTGTCACATTTCAGAAGTAGCCCATGCTTCCAGGAAGCATTTTTAACAACTAAATCATTAAAAAAAACCACAAAACCCTCTTAAGTTTACTTCCTCTGCTCAAGGGTCCACTTCAATATTGTGTCCGATGGGCTCTGGAAGAGCCTTGCTGCAAAAGCTGGTATTAAATGTTCACTGTGGTCGTATGTCCTGCAGACTTTTGTTGCACTAACACTTATAAATTGGGATGACAAAGCAAATTCATGTTTGTTTTTTTTTCCTCAAGCACTGACTGGTAAATATGTAAGAGAGCATTTACAGTTTCATTAGAAATTGCATACAAAGCACTGGAAAGCAGCCAGGCAGATTAAAAATTTAACTATTTACAGTCAAGCAAGACTGAACAGCAGAATCAGGCCATTTAATTTTAAATATCTGTCAAGCCACAGCTATGACTGATAAATACATTTATGGGTTTCATCTCCCACAAGACTGACAGCTCGATTCCCACATAGTTCCCTGCTCTCCAGTGACAGGCCACTATACAGAACTGACAGACTAAGAGAAACATAGTACTTTGGCAGATCAGACCCATAGGCTTAGATGAACACAAACAAACATACTTTCTGCACCATTTATCTTACCTGTCTAATGCCGACTGTCTCAAAGTACAGTTATTCTGAACACATGATCAAGCTTCCCTTACCCTGACATGGCAACATCTTTTTGCTCCCATAAACATTTTTTGTACAGCTACAGATAATGACTGCTTTTCCCAGTTACTCTGACAGCAACCACCATCTAAGAATGCTGTTATTTACTTATAAAGATGTGATAGAGAGCCTTCCACTTACATTATTTTTTTCCCATGCTAGTTAATGGACACTGATTAAAGGAATTCTGACACTAGCTTTTCTGCCTAGAGACAGCAAGGCAGAGTACAAGGTTTTGGAGAAGAAAGGGAACACCACCAGAAGACACTCTGTTCAGCCTGGAATGTGACTGGAACAAAACTGGTAAGAGGAATGTAACACTTACGTAGAAGGATGGTTGCCCTTAACATTTAGTTACTAAATCTACTAAGATGCATGTATGTGTATTGATGATTTGACAACTGCTAAGAGTTGCAAGGAAGATGTATATCATTAACACTGTACATATCTCAGCATTCTACCCAGATCAAATCAATAAAAGCCACTTGTATGAAATTCAGACATGCCTACGTAAGGACTCCAAAACAAAGCTTGGTCAGTTCCCAAGAAATTAATCTGCCTTATCTGGTAGCAGATTATCCGTAGACAAGTCTATGAAGATACAAAATTATTTCACATTTGTCAGTATTTTTATATATAAGTGTGTATGTATACACACACATAAATATATATGTAACTCACATAGCCAGTTCTTTCTATATTTACGTATCTCTATCCAATAGTCTCAAAAAAACCTGAGCTGTGCCACTTGATTCTGACGGAGCAGAGAAATTGCACAAAGTGTCTTCATCTGACCTTCTTCCCCCAATTACTCATCCTGGGCAGTGTAATACATGTAATTCATTCAGATTCAGAAGGTTCTCCTGCTTCAGTCACTTCGATTGATGCTGTTAATGGTAGTGAACTTTGGAACAGAGTAAATGGTGAGTGACAACATGCTGATGCAGCCTCCAATAACACATGCAGGATTAAACAAATGAACAACAACAACAAAAAAAAGCCTTAGAACTTACTGTCCAAAACTTTATGAAGTACTGCAAGACTGTAGCAGCAACAAACAGACAGTACAGTAAGGAATACATTAAAAACAGGAGGAAGAATTTGTAGTTAGAAAATCCCACACAATTATTCACCCTAGAAGGAGGGGAAAGAGAAAGAGGTTACTATGATATACAAAAAATAAAATAAAATAAAAAACAATACATTCAGCTTTTGCAGAGCATAACGTGTATGACGTCAGTGGTATGTCCAAAACAGTCTGGCACTAGTGTTTCAGAAGCATTTTAAGCTATCATTTTGAACAAAGTCTCTTTCCTCAGGCCAAATGATTTAGGCCCCTCACATAAATTTTGCCCCCCGTGAAGTTCTACAGGACAGGACGTGAGCTGGCAAAGCGTATGATACATACAGTCTGCATAGGAACACACTATGAGGCAACTGCAGTCATCATGGAAGATTATATGAGCCTCTCCATCAATTTCAGTGGATGTTGATTTCGTTACAAAACCACCTTCAAGTCAACTACTGATAGCAGTATATTTACAGTGACAGCAGATAATATTTCTACTGACTACCAGTGAATAGAAACTGCAGAAGAGTAACTGTCCGAGTGGGTCTTATGTATCATCTAGAATTGAGAGCCGATTTTCACAGTGTAGTGAGTGTCTTCTCCTGGTAACAATACCAAAATAAACAAAAGAAAGAAATGACATTTCTCATAGGTCTCGTTAATGCCAGGGTTTCTCTATATAAGGAGAAACTGCATGACATGGGCTACTGGGCCTACAACGCTATGTTGGAACACACATTAGGAACAAGATTTATTTTCACATATTAGAGCCTCAAGAAGTTCTGTGAAAATCAAGTTTTACTTCAAAGTTGCATTTTTGAAGCAGCATCTAATTCATCATGTAGGATTTAATTAATCATTATTATACTGATCTTTTTTGTTTTTACAAACTTACCATGGACAGTGGTGGTCCATTTTTAGTACACATCTGAAAGAGATAATTTCCAGTAAGTTAAAGGAAAAATACGTTTTCTTTCTAAGACACATACTTTTAGCTTCTACAGGTTTAGGGGTTGGTTTTGTGGTGGTTTGTTTTGTTTTGTTTTTTTTTTTTTTAAGTATTTTTCCCCACTCTATCTTTTTCAAGTGCTTCTCAATCATGCCAATTTTCTATATTATAGCAGCCATCCTTTCACCCAAAAAGACGAACTGAGATTCAGAAATTACAAAGAGAGTCTCTTAAATTAACATGGGAAGCACTACTGAGCAACACTATGTAATAGTTCATTAAGCCATACTAGTTTTATGTGCACACTGAGAGAAAACAAACCCAAAGGACCCTTCGGAGTTGTGTGGATAAGGTATGTCAGCCTGGCATTCACTTCAACTCAGTCTACCTTAGGGTTATTTTTTGCTACATTTTTTAGTTTGCTGCTTGCTTGCTTGTTTTTTAATGCTAATTGAGGAAAAGAACAGCACAGTGGGTAATTTCAATAGTCCACATGCCAGTTTCATCCAGTTTTAGTACAAGGGCAGATACTAGACATTTCAGACACACAGACGTTCACTGTATTTGCTAATAAATGTAATTTTAGCCAAAAGAGGTGTATTAGGTTCTTCAGTTAACTACATTTCCTCAAGCTCAGCCTACTGAAGTCTCACTCATAGCCTTAGTCTTCAACGCCCTTACTGACTTCTCTGATGATTCAGAATGAAGCTCGGGAATAACAGTGATGTCTCTGAATAGGCTAAGGCATGTGATTCCACTGTCAATCTTTGAGAAAAAGATTTTTAACATTATTAGTAGCACACATCTGTTTCAAGGCTGCAGAAGCAATAGACAATAAAAGAGTTCTATAATAAGCATTTGCTGGTGCCAGTATCTCAGACCTGCCTTTCTTTACTTTCAGTTGCTGATTATTTATTTTTTTTTTCAATATAAGCACTGTTTTATAAAGCTACAAGCAGATTTCCTAAAAAGTTCTGCCACTTTGGACAATGGGCTTACAAAAATAATATTGCACCAACAGGAGGAACTTTGCTCTTTCATGAAATTCAAGTACTGATAGTCTTGGGAGAGGAATAAATAGTAAAACCTGCTGTTATGCAAGGGCTGACACACTGAAAACATGAACAAGCTGAAGACATGAACACACTGAAGTGATGATCGCAGGAGAGAGGAAATCCATCATTTCAGATTCAGTAACTTACATGTCACATGCAGAACAGTGGTGGCAGCGGTCAGGTTTGATTAGCTGGCATCGATCACAGTATCTGATTGCTGCATTCAAGTGGCAAGGATCAAGTCATTAAAACTCATTTAATTTTACAAAGGTTTTCCCCCTTAACATGAACTAAATCTTAAAGAACTTCCTGCCCTCCCCTGCCACACCTGTTCTCACAGACCTTCATGTGCCTATGCTCATATAATGTTACTTTTGAGTTTTTTAAGAAATGTAAAATATGAAACTATTTAAAACACTTTCATCTATTACTATTGTACTGAGTACATTTCCATTTACTCTTTTGCTCCCCAGTCTTCCCATCCTCCATCCTCTGGTGCTGATCCCCTGTCGCTTGGTTTCTTTCACCTCTGGATGGGGTACTCAGGCATTCCATTGTGAAACTATGTTCGTTCGGCAAGCCAACTTTCTGCATTAGCTTTCTTTATCCTCTTCAGCAAATAGTGATCTATCAGACTGTTCAGTAAATCAGCTCTTCCTCATCTTTCCTGGATATTTTAAAACAAGCCTTCAGGCTCTTCTCAATGGAAATAAGACACCAGCACAGGCAGTTTGAAAGGAGGAGGAAAGCTTACACCTACAGCTAAGCAGAATCGCTAAGAGCTGCAAGAGCTTCCCAGACCACTCCAGGAACTTAAGATTGGGATTCCTTTAAAGGGAGGCTTGTATTCGAAAAAGCCAGGTGTCCTTAGATTTTGTCTGTAAAGTCACAGTAAACTTTGGTAACCATTATTCTGAGTAGTTTATGTTTTTTGAAAACACTACAGGGTTGCTAGTTTCAAGAAAGAGAAATAGATATATATATACACATAAAAGATAGATTTTTAAAGAATATACATTATGTATAAGACAGCAGCTTCACAGATCATTCATATATAAGTTGGAATAAAAATGCTTATATGTATTAAAGGCAAATACAGAAATAGCCCATAACTAGCTTTGTACTGAATTACAGATGGTAATGAAACAACATTTATTCATCCTTAAATTCTAGCCTTAAGTATGATGTTTCCCCTTCTGCTGAACTGATACAGCTTAAAAAAAAAAGATATTTAAAAGGGGGATATAAATGATTGTAAAATTGAGTAAAAAGTTTAGTTTTCTCTATTCCTAGCTGTATTAGCTATATTTCTTTGCTGCGTTTATTTTTTGTAGCCACAATTAGAGATAAATGGTGTCATCCATCAGCTTCTAGAAGAGTGTTTTTTGTTTTTTTTTTTTTTTAATTCCAAATACTGGCTGCATGTTGAGATCCCGAGACAAAAGGACTTCAGTTTATCCTGGGAGGAAAAAAAGCCCAACAGTCCAAACGAATAACAAAACAAGGTCATGGCCTTTGCAATATGTGCTTAATAGATTGTTCATTCAGTGACATCAAATGGATGTCACTGAATTAAACTAGCAGTTTCAGAAGCACAAAATTATCTTTTTCTCTCACCTCTCGATGCTGTTGTCGTATAGATAGGCAAGTCTTTAGCAGCTCTTCTCAAAATCTCCTGCTGGGATTCTGGTCTCTCTTCTTTTTCATATTGTTCTTTATCAGCTTTTGACAAGCAGAACTAGGAGGGAGGGAGAAAATGGAACGAAGGAAAGAGATTAATTATTACTCTGTGTTCTAGTAAAGCTCCAAGGAAAATACGCTGTGTATCTTAATCCTGTGTCTGTGGACAACACCCATCCACCGGACCAAAAAAATGCACATAAAGAAAAAAGAATGCTACAGAAATTACAGGAGATCCTTAAAACTCCATGACGGTCCTGGGCATATTTTAAAGAAAATAATCTTTATCTCTGTTCCTTTATCTATAGGATTTTCCCTTCAACACAAAGGAAGGCAGAGACTCAGGGGAGTTTTAAGAAAGCGCAACCTTTCCTTTAATTCCTGATCAGTGTAAATTAAGTGATCTGCGAACAAGAGGAAGGTACAACAGTCCTTTGCTGCTACAGGGCACTGAAGTTCTCTTATCCCACTTTCTCTCTCTGACTTAGAGACAGGTACAAACCACAGAGCAGGGAAAAGGAGGGTGGGGGCTTCATGGCTTCAGCACAGAGCTTCAAACTGGAATTTTTACTTGGGAGTAGCCAGCACTAGTCTCAAAATCCATGAGCTGTATTGAAAGAAACTTCAGCAAAGCCTGTACAGGTTGAGAGAGAGTTAAAATTCTGAGTAAAGCATGAGGAACATTCCTGTTGAAGCCTCACTGAAATGTAAAGCTTTACCAGAAGAACCTGGAGAGCTTTTACTCACGTGAAACACTTAGTTTGGTATCCACCGAAATTATGAGCTTTACCATTAAGCCCTATAAAACCCAGTGTGCTGACAAGCCCCTGTGGAGTGGGGGCTGAATTCACTATTTCCTTTGGTATTTTTCTGTTCTGAAGCACTTTTAAACTCTGAGCTTCCTGCATGGACTACAAGAGCCCTTTTTATGAGCACACATAGACAAAGTATTCATGGTAGTGAGTGGAAAATGCTGTGTGTGCAGCTGGAACAAAAACTGGCTTAGTGTGGTTTAATATGACCATATTTTCCTACCAAGAACATGTATATGATTAGTTCACATGGATTTTCCTCTCATCCTGTACTTTTTCCTCTTATGGATTACAGTCAGTTGGCAAGCAACAATGAAGACTTCACTTACAGAAAGGAGGAAGCAGTAAGACATTGCTGCAATTTCTCTCTGTTACTTTCTAACTCAGAGTGCAAAAAAGTTGCCTCCTATCTCACAGAAGCTAGTTAAGCCTCCTGTTACGTATAGGATCATCCCAGTTATTGGGCCCATCCACCATTCAAGAGTGAAATAGGAAACACAATCCCCTTTTAAATAATCAGAAACTATGATTAATCTATGTGAAGGGTGAAATTAAAGTTTAACATTTCAGTCATCACCAAGAGTTTGACCTCATTTTGAAATCTTAATCTCCAAGATACATATTTACTCAAATATGAAAACTGGAGATGCTCACATCAAAATTTTATGACAGATATGAAGCATCATGCCAGCAAACAGTGGTGCAGTATGCTTTCCTCCCTACTGCCCTTGTGAGTCTGCTAGGTGACCCGAGGCCTATCGCCATGACCTGCAATCAAGCAGAGGTTGCATTAAACATGAAATACTACTTCTAGATGACATTTCTATGTCAAACCATTAATGCACAGAAAAGGAGCTAAATCACAGGGTTTAAAACTTAGAAGTAACATCATAATAGTACTCAAAAAATCCTGGATAGGATTTTGGTTTTCCGAAGAGCTATATTCTGTTCTAATTTCAGAGATTCATAGGGCCATGAGTCCATAGTCTCTTTGGACAAAGGCAGGATATGTTCAAAGACATCAAAAGTTGTCTGTTACCACATAGCTAACAGAATTTCCAATGAGGTTCCAGCAGTTCTTATTGAAAACAGAAGAGTCCCTTTGTTTCCTTCCTTTTTCTGGATCTTGTATAATGTTGATTGTTCTTTCTTACGACAAATGTACAGGGATTACACTAAGACAACAGCAGCTGCAGAATCTTTTTTTAGTTCAATAGTAAGATCACAGGATGCTATTTGTTTCACAAGAATGGCTAATTTGAATGACTAAAAATATATACGTTTACACTCATACAATGGGGAGATTCTGAAGTCAGGCTTTGTTTTTGAAGTATAACCAGCACAAATTACTCACTGGTGCATGAACAGAAGGGACTTGCCCAGAAGAAGAAAAAGCGGTGGTGGGATTTTTTTGCGTGGTTGTTTTTTGTGTTGCTTGGGGTTTGGTTTTTTTTTTGTGTGTGTTTGTTTTTTGTTGTTTATTGTTGTGGGGTTTTTCTTTTTTGGCTTCCCCTCCCCCTTTTTTTTTTTCTTTTTTAAAGCTAGCTGTAGAAGAAAACTGCATGAAATCTGATCTACCCCCACACTTGATATAGGAAATATTCATTACATGCCATATGCCCAAACCATCCCTTTCGCTCACTGAATATGAAAAGCTTGCTAAAACTTTACTGTAACTACAGGATAAGTACTGTCATAAGTTTTCTATTATTGAAGAATCCAAGCAGACAGTAAAAGTTACTAGGCATTAGCTTTATGAGCAGCTCCAGTTCATATAGCTTTACAAAACCTGGAATAACACAGTTCCAACCACATTTTAATGAGCTAACCTGCTTAACTTTATCATTTTCCTGAAGAATCATCCCATATAAAGCCAAAACAAACCACCCTGAAGACAAGCCCCTTGGAATTTTTAAGGTTTAAAAATTCAGTACTACTCTTTTTGATTAGCTAAACAGCAGAATAATCTTTAGCTTTTTTCATTTTATATTCTGTAGCTTTAAGATACAGATCTCTAAGCCATAATTAAGCACTACAGAGCACTGTTTGCTTTTCCTTAGAAGCATGGTTTAAACTCTTTTGAAAAATGTTTAAGCTTGACATTAGCACTGAAAGTCAGTCCTGCCAAAAATAGAATAAAAATTCATCCCCCACAGAGCAACCAAAGCATCAAACAGTTTAACCAATTTAAAAGCTTTATAAAACCAAGGAAGGGAAGGGAAGGGAAGTTATTTTAAATTTGGTGCCAGTATTTAATCCTTACATACACACACCTCAGAGAAAATAGAAAACAAGGTAATCCATCTCAGGCTTATTGCAATTAATACTGTTCTTTTACAAAACAAAATTTCTTACAGTCATCATGCATTCTTCTGCCATTATATAAAGCTTCTTTATGTATTCACTTCTCACTTCTCCCTAAACCTTAACCTTTGACTTAATAGTAAGTGGTTCAGTCCTCCAGGTTATGAGTAAACATTGCATTACTACTTTTTCTTACCCAAACCAAGGTCAAAACTGTCTAAAATGGAAATATAAAAATGTTGTCACTGTATTTGATTTATCGGTTTTAAAAATTCCAGGTTTCAAGCAAGCTCCTTCATAGCAAAGCACTGTACATGACTGTCAAACTTGTGATTAATTAAATGCACATTTCGTATAAGAAAATGTCATTACACAAAGTATACAGTATTTTAAGAGTAACTTGATCATTTCCATTGATGATACACTGTCATGCTGTTCTATTTTAGATAATAAGAAGGGAAAGGTGAATCATGCAGTACTGCAAACAAGTTTCACCACTGAAAACAGTTCAGCTATTTATAAAAAAAGGCATTGACATTTTTCTAACATTATATTTACCTCATTAGAGGGGGATGCAGGAGCTGTGAAAATTGTCTTCCAATAGGACCATACAAACATGACAAATGACAGATGAAAAACCACAAGGTAGACAACTGCAATAAAATACAAATAAGAGCTTGGTGAATATAGCTGAAGAGACGACAAAATAAGATCATCAATATTTGATGAGTGCTAAACAAAATTAAGTTATATTAAACCTTTTCCCTGAGTAGACTTAGCACTCTAGGAGTGTAAAAAAAAAAAATTAAAGTAATAATAGTAATAAATTACCAAATTTGATGGTTGCTATTCCTTAAGGAAATAATATGCTTTTATGTACGATTCCACAACAGACTTTGAAGGGAAAAAAAACCAAACCAACCAAAAATACCCAGAACTGACCACAGCTTCACCTGTGGCATGTAACTAACCAACCTGTTTGGATAAAGATGATGCTACAATTCCATTCTAGATTATAGTAAAGTATTTGATAACTGACCTAGAGAATTCAATTTAATTTCTACTTCTAATAGAAACAGCACAGTATTGTGCCATTGTTGAAAGCACTGATCATGAATGACAGTAAAAACTCCACACCAGGGGTTTGGAGGCAACTGCACTCTGAGACGAGAGCTAGACATGAGTTAAAAATTGTCTGATTATCTTCTTTCAAATCACCAGAGGGATATAATCTGGAAGAGTCCTCCTATTATAGTCACAGTGGCAACAAAATGACAGTGGCTTTAGTAGGGAGCTCAATCAATTTCTGAAGGGGTGATATAGTTGCCTTAAAGGCCAGAGCGCCAGACCTTATGACTGGGGAAGCTTCTTCTGATCTTGTTTCCTCTAACAGTTTCTTTTACCACTTGTCAAGAGGAAACAGATCAGTTATGCCAGAAGAGCAAGCTTTAGAAAAGAAGTCATACCAAATATTTACATTATCTTCACTTATATTATCTTCAGTTGCAGGAAGAAGGAAACTTGACCTACTTTCCCATGCACATAAAGAGAGTCCTTTAAGAAGCTGTATGACATACTTCACGGATGGCAGAACAGGCTCAAAACTTTGGGAACTTCCAACAGCTCAGAAAATGCTTGTGCACAGTCAGAGAAGACGTGGTCTTAATTTATCATCTTTCAGGATTTTCATTGCTTGTTGCAGTAAAAAACCCAAACAAACTGTATTTGAGCTTTCTTCAGATAATGATGCTTTTTACCTTTGCCTCTGACTCCTCCAACCTTACAGACAGATTTGGCAAATTTTAATCTGTGGAGCTGACTGAAAATGCAAGAAGCAAAACCTTTTTCTAAAGCCATCCTAAAATAGTCATTCTGATAGGAAAGGACTCATATATCACAATACTAGGCACTGCATAATTAGAAATTGTCTTTTATTAAAAACATACTATACACATTCAAACACAATGCGGTTAAGTAACTAAACCATGAGAAAACAGTCTGGAAAAGAGAAACAGACACAAAACTGGAGTGGAATCAGCTGCACAGATCAGAGCTTTGGGGGAGAAGAGGGTGAGAGGAGTTGACCAGAAGGAAAGAGGAAATGAGATACAGGAGAGGGCAGGGCACAGCAAAACGAACTTACACAGTAAACCATTCTAGTCTGTCCATAAAGAATCACCCCCAGAATTCAGATTCTTTTGAAGGATTATTTTTAGGGCACACACAATACTTCAACCAGCAGAACCTCAAAGTCTTGTCACAGGCTGTAATGCCCCAACACCACACAGAATAACAGGCACCAAAGCTGGCTGCAGCAAAGGTACAGATCTGTGCCAGTGCTACCACTATTTATAGAAAGAGACAGTTCTTAAAGTGCTCTTGCACTCTTGCACTGAGATCTTGCAATCTGTCACCATCATTAACAGCCAAAAGCCTCTCCTCAGTAGCCAAACTGGGACAACTCAAGAAAGAACAAGACTTTCACAGCTGTTCCAGTGATGGGCACCACCCAGTCTAAAGGAGAAAGAGCCTGGAATTGGCAGTCCATACTGGCCCCACACTGAATAAACTCTTGCTTCTTTTCCCACTCCTGTGTTGCGATTACACAAGAAATGAGAGGGAGGGAAGATACCAATTTTGATGGCTTCACTTTGGCAGTCCATGTACCCACCATTTTGGGTAGCAGTATCTCTGCTGCAGACTACTCCGTGAAGCACCTTGCATCAGCTTCCAGTACAAATATAAACCAGCCTCATTCCCATTCGGCTCCTTTTCTTGTAATTACAAGCTAGATGGAAAATACATCAAAAACCTCAATCACCAATACCTGCCAGTTTAGCCAGACTCAGAGTCATGGAGAAGTCCTGGCTAAGCTAAGGGAATCCGGGACTCTTGGTGCCATGCTGTGACCAAGTGGAGTCACTTCTCTTTAAAGGCACTGATGCATATTAGACCATAACTCATGCCCTAAGGAGGACAAAGCCTTAAGACATGGTCTTAGAATCCTCCTGAAATATGCTAAGCCCTCCTGAGTTTTGCCCTTAATATCCTTTTCTGAATCATTCTTAATACTACTTCCAAGACAGAGTCAGATTACAGAGAGGTAATAATCTATAACAGGAGTATATTACATTGTTAAGAGAGATTCAGAGTTTACTTTATTAACCTAACCTAATGGATATAAATCTATACAAGAATATGAACTACAGAGAAACAATTAGCTTTAATAGAATGAAGAAATTGCCACTCATTTGATCAAAAGTTGTAATTAAGTACTGGAGTAAAAGGATTTGAACAGCAGCAATCTGCAGAATTTTGCAAAGTCTAGGTTAAGCCCAGCTGTGCAATGTGATGTAAAAATCCAGGGTAAGACTCAGCTCCCATCTTGAATGGCTTACAGTTTATTTTGAAGATTTTCACATTATTTCACCTCTTCATTAGAAGATGAAAAAGGACAGATTCCATCAAGGTTCCTTCCTTTCACAGTGTTCCCTTGGATGTTCCCCACCAGGAAGAAAACTGCTAGATTAGTTCCAAATTCTATGCTCTTTTGCAAAAATATATAAAAGATGAGAGACTCTTACCAGTGTCTCACACTCTGAAGATAGCCCTCTGTGGACAGCCAAAATGCAAGTCTATGCTTAATCTACCACTCATGTCCCCCCATAAGTTGAAATGAACCCCCAAAGAAATATCGCATCAATAATTTGTATTTCTACAGGAAAAAAAAAAGGAAGAAAGGTTTATAAAAAAAAAAATGAACTTCTGGAATTGAACCATCCTTTAGACTAGTTTTTATTCACAATAAAAGGAGTGGCAGAGCAAGAATGCTGGAATATTTTCTGGTCAGTTTTTATCTTTAAGCACTACCCACTGTGGCATATACTTGCCAAAGCCAATAGGAAGGCTTAAGTAAAGTTTGTCAAAACAAGGCCTTAACCACTTGACCTAGAAATTTAAAATTATAATGTGCAGCTACCTTTGAAATAGCTGTGTTTTGCACAGTTCTAACCAGTCCTAAAGAATGGGGTTCTGAGGAATTTGGTAAGCTGTTTGGAAAATAGCAAGCAGTAGAACAACAATTCTTCCTCTTCCAGAACTCTTTCAGGACACAGGGTGTGTTCAGGAATAAACAGAAGATGGACTTGTGGATCTGCCGCATTTCCTTCTCTCCTTTTTTTTCCCTGATCTTAGAAGGTACCCATTTAAAAAACATTTGCAAACCTAAATCATAGTTGCATTACTCACAGGTCTTGTCATCATCCCAAGCTTGTAGTACTAGAAGCTAAACAGACTCAACCTCACAATATTTACCTTGTTTCTTAGCACTAATCTACTCACTACACAGAGCTTACACATAAAGGAGTATGTTTAAATTCTGTGTCCCTTAAGAGTTGCATGCAACAGAACAATTCACATCTTCAAAAAAATTTTTTAAAAAATTACCTTTTTCTGCAGTTGAAGAAATCGTAACTGGAAGAGAAAAAAAAAAAAGATAAATGGTAAGTAAATCTGCATTGAATCAAATGTTTGGCTAAAAGCAAGATATATGACATAGCCAACTTGTTCCAAAGCATACTTCAGGTGTTAGTAGAGCCTCCCTATCCCGCTCTGGGGTAGAACAGGAGTTAGTATTCCTCCTGCCAGCCCTTGAGGCCTGGTGAGTAAGTGGAAGAGCTGAAGAGATCCAGTTCCCTGCACTAACCAAGCGAGGACACTCCTTTTCACAGACATTAATTAGATAGTAATTTATGCATGTTCTCCTTCAGATATGCACCTAGCAAAGTTTTCCAAGTCAACAACTAGGCCAACAGGTGTTCCATTTGAAAGCAGAAAATGAAATAAAAATTGTTCCTACAGAAGTCCCTGTTAAACTGTATTACATGTAACTTATTTCCCTCTGTTAGTTTCTTCCCCACCACTTCCTTCTTCCTGTGACATGGTATTTTTGACTTTTTTCCCCTGACCCGAGTTCTTCAGACATAGTTAAAACCTTTCCACTTCATTCTCTCCTATATCCTCATTTCCATTTATTCCAACAGCAAATTCTATTGTTCAGATATACCTTCTATACTGCCTGACTAGTAGTACATCCTCCTGCCCTCAGGCTTCTCCAAAACCTTCACACTTCATTCATCAGTTCAGGTAAGGTGCTGAACAGAGAGTTGCTGTACTTATTGGGTTGCTTTGGTCATATCACTCCCCTCGCTAGAGCTCTTCCTCACGACACTGAATTCCTGAAATTCAACAAGGAAAGGATCTTTTCCTGACTCTTCATCTTATACAGTAAATTTAAGCTTCTGGTCATTGGCATGCGCGAAAGGTTAACACAGCATACCCTGCCTACCGCAGTTCACCTCACTCCACATTGTCTCCTGTCTCAGCTCTGACATTTCTACAGTCATTAGTCTGTGTGCCAGTTCAAAAGAGCTTTTTCCTAATGCACACTAGAGTCTTAAATCTGCAGGGCTTCAGGATACATTGCAGACTTCCTTCTGAAGGGTTACTTTGGCCACAGAGGTGGCATGTGTCTCACTGAACTGCAGATATCTATAGTAAAAGGGTCTGCAACTATATTATGCAACCGTGCCTCTTTTTATAGTCAAAGAGAGACATAATGAGGTGATATCTCAGTGTATAGATGACCTCTTTTTGTCCAGCTATGTGGTTTTGGTTGGTTGTTCCCCCCATTCTCCCCCTCGCCTTAATATTTATAATAATATTTAATATTCCTTAAAATATTCATGTGGCACCATCTATCTGTCCATGGAAGCCTCTACAAAGTCAATGGAAAAGATCCTGGTTCCTTCCACCTAAAGAAGGAAGAAATTATAATGTAGAACAGACAAGTTTGGCTTCAAACTAAAGGAGGTAAATCCTAAAGAATAGCTTAATTTCACATTAGTTATGCATACTTGCACATTCTCCTCCCATGTTTCTGTCTGAAACTGAGACACAATCCACACAGAGAAGCAGACCTGAAGCACATGATTACCTGCAAAATATGCATGTAAATGTAAAAACAGGTCCAGTTGTGTCATGATATGGTCTCACTACTACACCACGGTGTGCTACAGAAGTGGCATTATTTTTTAAGGCAAATCCTATGAGTGTTTTGCTTTAAGTTTTACTAGTGTGTTATTTCTCCAGTTAAAACTTTTTCAATAACACAAGGAAAAGAGAAAAATAATTAAAAACGTGTAAATTAAAACAAGCTTACTGATTAGGGTTGTTTGCTCAACTTAAAAAAAAAATACTAAAAGTACTTTAGATTAAGCTTTGTCTTTGGCTCCTCATATACCTTAAGTAAACACCTTTGCATACACCTCGA